CGTTTTAACTATACAGTAAGTCCCCGACTTACAAACATTCGAGTTGCGAACTTTCACAGATATGAACAGACCTCGCATACGAACATTTGTAGATGCGAACAAATCGCAGAAGTAGCTCACATGTTTGCTGGACATTGTCACAGCTGTGCTGCTGTGTGCTTACTGTACAGAGCGATAGTGTACAGCAGTACAGTGCTCAGTCAGAGCCCAGGATGCCCGGAAGCAAGAGGAAAAGAACTCCACCATCTCTCACCTACCCTCCCTCCTCCAGTTAGTAACTCTTCTTGTCAGTTCACTCTATGCAATCCCCTATATGCCAGGTGTCCTGTAATATACCATCATTTTAAGGTAACTGTAACAGTAAAAATAGTTTATTTACAGTATTTTTGTATGTGTATGTGTGTGTGTGTGTGTTCTTTTTTTGTTTTTTTTATTTTTTATTTTTGCTTTACATTGTATATTTGTGTCAAAGGTGTATAAGACTCACTTTGTCGGACTTACCAACGAATCCGATTTATGAACGTTCTCCCGGAACGGAGCTTGTTCGTAAGCCGGGGACTTACTGTAATGTGTCTTGATGTGGGCTTGTTTGGGTTCATCTTGGTTGGAACTCTGCAGTTCCTAGGCTTGTATGTCGATTTCCTTCATCGGGTTAGGGAAGTTTTCAGTCATTATTTCTTAAAATATGTTCTCAGTCCCTTCAGAATCTCTTTTATCTTCAATGTTTTTATCTGAAAAATGAAAATTTTAATGTGAACATCAAACTAATGAACTGAAATTAAAAAAAAAAAATTTGAAGCCTTATAAAGAGCTCTGAATGTAAGGAAAGAAATTTAAATTTTCTTTAGCAAATTTAAAATTATGTGTGTGTTCAACTATATTTCTGTTGGACCCCACTGGTCTAGGCTTATTAGATGTGAATTTGTAGAAGAGAAATCCCAAAACAGTAAGAGTGACATTATCTATTGTATGTATTCTGTAGAATCAGGGAATTTTAATATAGGAAGGGCTTTTCATATGAATTTTAATAGTGTTGTAGATTGTATTTTCTGCAAACCTTATGAGAACTATGCTGTGAAATTTTTATTTAAATTTAATTCAGGAGTTTGTGAACTGTTGAGCAGAATTTAATTTTTAAAAATATATAGTCTGTTATTTTTTAAAAAAGAAATAAGACATTCAAGCATGATACACTAAATTGAAAAACAGAGACACGTACTAACTCGTGCCATCAGATTCTTTTTTATTATTTAAGTTGTGGCTTTGCCATATGTTTATTTGAAGCTATCTGTATCTGACCATGTATAATAGAAGAGCTATTACATATTTCTGAGCCTGATTTGCTCAATATTATGCTACCAAATACAATAATGCAAATTATATGATGAAGCTGCTATAAGACTGTTCATCAGAATGGTTTTATTCTCATTTGCTGAGAATAAATAAGTAAATGGTATAAATTTATGAAATTATTAGAACACTGCTTATGAATCCAATTTATGGATATTTTATGTTTTTTATTTTTTGCATCTTATGTTAGGATAAGAAGGATTTTTGTTGCTGCTGCTGCAAAAAGAATTGTTTGAAAAACCCTAATTTAATCAACACTCATTTTACAGATTTAGAATCTGAATCTAAGAAAAAATACAGTTCCCAAATTTCACACGATTTGTTGAATCTCAAATAAAACTCAAGTTTTCTGATGTCTCAATCGTGTGTACAAAGAGTAAGTACTTGCTATGAATATAGTAATATTCTAAGGAATATAATATTGAGTAAATGTTGGATCTAGAACATCTTGATTTTAAATCATGTCTTTAGATAATATAGTCATGGGACGTGGAGTATAGTGTGGGAATGGATTCAGGGGAATTGTGATAGATATGTATGATTTGGGGGGGAAGTGGGGTGGCGGATTGGGGGGGTTGTCACCTCGAGAGGTAAAAAGTGTAACTATTGCACTGTGTTGTACAGCTGAGGCTAATTCTGGGAAATGTGTATTTCACAATAAAAAATAAATAAATAAAAAGAGCTGGCTTGGGATGCCAGCTCTGAACAGCAAAGCCCTGGTTCGTGTCCCACATGAGGGACAGTGACACTGCCCTCTACAGCTAAGATGGTGAACAACAGCTCGACCTGGAGTTGGGCTGCCGTGAGTCGCAGGCAATGGCGTAGGCAGCAGCCTCTGCTGCAGTGGGCTGACTTAAGCTACGGTGAGTGGCTGGCAGCTAGCGTGAGCTGATAAGAGCCGCCGTGAGCAGCTGTCCTGAGACCAGCAACTGACCTGCCTCACCCAGGAAAAGCGCAATAATAATACCAACATGGGCCAGTGAAGTGATGTCCTCCACAACTAGACTGAAGAACAAAAGGACAGCAACTTGTCTGTTCCCCTTCCCCGATTCCCCAGAGTTGTTCCCCTCCCCCAATTCCCCAATAAAATCTTAAAAAAAAAAAAAAGAATTGGAGAGGCAGATGAAGGAGTCTGATGGACATCCACAGACTAAGTTACTCTGTCTACCTGAATAAGAGTTTTTTCCATAGTGAGGCCCTTTGGTGAGCAATCACATGGGACCTACAAATTTTCTTTGTATGTGTCAATTCCTTGAGGCCAATCCACATATTTCTTCTTTAGACTTCTTTGTAATAATTCTTCCAGTCTTGCTTCTTCAGAATTACTAATCATCCTGTAGAAACTATTAGATATTGCAAATTAATATGCATAGTTTCTTAACTCAAGCAGTTTATTCTTCGGGGAAAGTAGATGTATGGGTAGATGTAGTGAAAATAGCGACTATTTTCTTTTTTTTCTCAGGCAAGGCCTCTCCTGGGTGGGAATGCAGTGCTTCAGCAGTCTCTTTCTGGAGGTTACTGGTATTAGGGGAGACCATGTGCAAACCAAGTTCTATTTTTTTTCTCGTTCTTCTATGAAACTCCCCATGAGGCCGTTTGTATTGTTTGAGGGGAGGGATATCAGGGTAGAGGAGTAGGCTTCAGGTAGTTTGAGTAATCTAATCATGCAACTTTCTTGTGTCTTTGGGTTTTTCTGTTGCTTATATTGTATATACCACCTTTATTTAATGAAAGAGCCTTTCGGGCTACATCTACTTTCTAAACTTAAAAAGGGTGGTGTTGTTCCTGTTAGGACTTAATGCTTTATTTATTTATTTTTTATTTACTTTTCCCATTTACTCAGGTGAATGGTCACTTTGAGTGAATGCCAAAAAGAATGTCCTTGGTATAATCCTGCACAAGAGCCTTTTTAAAGAGTACCTGGTCTTCATTCATGTAAGGAATTGGAGGTTTATAAAATGGCTAAAGTCTGGAAATTGAGCAAAGGCCTGTGACTTTAAATATTGGTGGCTTAAGAAGGCCTTTCTTGACCTGAAATGTTTTGGTTTCTTCTAATGAAAGTCTTTAGTGTGTTTCCCATTGATTTTATTCCTAGATACTCCAGGGTCAAGTAAGCATAGCATAGCCTGGAATCTCTATAGATCAGACTGTAATGATTAGGACACCAAATTAATTATCTAGGATGAAATAAAAACCATAGTTCCCAGATGTTCCTAAATCTTACCCTTCTCTAGTTGCCTACTTCAGTTTGTGGAGTTGGGTATTAAGTCTTAGAAATGTCTCCTGTTCTGTTATTTTATCTTTGATATAACATTCATGCTTTGATCAGATTTTATATTCCTGTCCTCCATGCTCCTTTTTCATCTTTTTATTCTTTTCCTCTGTATTTTGGTGTATTCTCTCAAAATTTTCTTCGACTCCATTTATCTTTATTTTGTGTTAACTTTCCCATGCAGTTTTAAATTTCTTGTGTATATGTAATTTTTCCTAATCTCAGTTGTAGTCTCTTAATAATTACTTAGTCATATAAAAATGCATTATTCCCTTTTGACCTTTTTGGACACAAGAATCAGAGTTTCGAAAACAATTCTTTGCAGTTTCCTAAGTACATTTATTCCTCAAGGGAGCACTTCCTTGGTTTCTTTAAAGTTAAGTTGTTCCCTCATTTTTTTAGGTCCAGTGTTTTTCTCATCCTTATGAAAAGAAATTGATAATTTTCAACTGTTTACTCAGAGTCAAATAGGAGTTGAACTGTGTCCTATCACAATAGATGTTGGTTCTTGCCTGAATTTGGGGAACATTTTTTAGTTCTTGAATTTTTTGCCTTGCCATTTAAAAAAATCCTAATAATCTACAGAAAATAAGCAGAGCCGTATAGTAGAGATCTTTGCCTCTGTGCTAGTCTCCTTTTCTCTTCTCTCCGTACTTTTTGTGGCCAGCCATGCTAGTGATAGGCCTGGATGTACGCAGCCTGTCTCAGGGTCGTTCAGTGACAGGCTTTCCTTAGTGCTGTCCAGGACTCAGCCTTTTGTGCTTGATCAAGAAAGAATCCTGGAGTTGTACAATAAAGCTGATAGGGTCCAAATATTGCTAATGGACACAGAGTGGGGAGTGGAAACAGAGTATCCCCTGTTGGTTCTCCATTTGCCCTTGCTTACAGCACTCACCCCTTTGCGTTTTGGGTTGTTGGAAAAAGTCTATAATGAGGGAAAGTAGTTTTCTCACAGGAGGAGGAGGAGGTCTCCAGTGGACTTTATTTGGCTTCCTTCTGTTATACCACATTGTTTAATGTCTAGTAGAAATTTGTTAGTTTCTTGAAAATAAAGATTGTTCTTTGTTTTTTGTTTTACAGTGAATGTGTGTGTGTGTGTGTGTGTGTGTGTGTGTGTATTCCTGTTTATTATGTTCTCTTGGTTATTTCAATAGAATTTTTTGAAAGTGTGAAAGGCAGTGAGCAGCTAGATGTATTTTGTTTATCTCTCCATCTTGTCCAGTGTATATAACTTTTATTAACATATTCAATTTGATAAATACAGGCGTAGAATTATTTTTAAGGTTTATGTTTGCATACCAATTTCATATAAGGCTAATTTTATTTAATTTTGACTGGTGTCTGTGCAGAAGCTAATTAGTACTTATTTGCTTTTCAGAAAATGGACTCTACATCACTATTACCAACATGTTTAGATGTGGATCTGACAATATCACATATAGAATGTCTTCCCAAGGACATTCTGGTGAAATTTCAAGGCAGAAATAATATTGAATGTGAGTTTGACTACCACATACTGCAGCAGGAAATACAGTATATCCCAAAAGTAAAAAATAATGTGGACATTGATGAATTTTGTTTGGTAGAAGAAAGAATATCTGGAGAATGGCAGAGAGGAAGAGTTTTGGAAAAGAAAAATGAACTCTACACAGTGTTCCTCATAGATCGTGGACAAAAACTAAGAGTTGATAGTACACGTGTTGCTTCAGCCTGTGGCAACTTATTTGAACTACCACCACGTGTAGTAGTTGGTATTTTTGCCAACATACTACCAGTTGGGGAAAAATGGTCTCCTAAGGCTTTGAATTATTTCAAGTCATTAGTAGGACTACAAACAAAAGGTTGGGTACAAGCTATTTTGCCTCTTCAAATGATTCTTCTTGAAGTGCCAAAAATTATATCCCAGGTTCTTGAATTACAGTTAGGAAGACTTATTGATGCAGATTCATTTTGTCTTATTGTGGAAATGTTAAAAGAATTCCCACAACAAATGCCTGATTTATTACAACATAAGAAACCTGAAGTGTCAGTAAGTAATAATGATACTTTACTTGATATTCAACATGTTCTGGATAATTTGCAGCCATCTGTGTCAATAGGCAGTATGGAAAGTGTAAAGGTATCATCTGCATTGAGTCCAAGTAAATTTTATTGTCAATTAATTAAATGGATTCCAGAGTTAGAAAACTTGACAGTGTGTATGAATTTGCATTATGATATTGTCAGTCAAGAAAGTAGTCCTACGTGTGATAATTTTGGACTACTTTGTGTTGCCAAAAGGAGAAGCGGACAGTGGCATAGAGGAATTCTTCAGAAGCTCTTGCCCAATAATCAAGTGAAAATTTGGTTTATGGATTATGGCAGTAGTGAGTCTGTACCCTCAATTCATGTAAAGAAACTTAAACAGGATTTTATTTTAGTACCACTGTTTTCATTTCCATGTTCTCTGTCATATTTACGTAGTCCAGATGGAGATGCAAGAAAACGTCAACTGAGTATATTTAAACAAGCTTTGTTAGGACAAATAGTATATGCATACATTGATTGGTTCAATAAGGATGAGCATTTGTATTATGTAACATTACACACTCAAGAGTCTACAGTTAATTCTAAGTGTCTGATGGAGACTGTAGGCACAGAAGTACTTTGTCCAGTGTCTGATTTGAAAATCCCTAATATGTTGAGAGAGACTAGTGCTTCTGATGTAAACGGTTTTGCAGCTGAGAGTTTTATTGGAAATACGAAACAGTTGATAGACTCTCTAAATAAAAAAGATAATTTGAAAGTAGGTTTTCCTATTAAAACTGTAGAAATGGAGATAGAGACTGCCTACCTAGCTTTAGTAGCATATGTATTAAACCCAACCAATTTCTGGGTACGTACCAATGAACATCAGAAGGAGTTTCATGATATAATGAAAAATATAAACAGACTTTATGATCTGTGTGAAAATGATGAACTGATTCTAAGAAATCCAGAACCTGGTTTATTTTGTTGTGCTAGATACAGCAAGGACAGATGTTTTTACAGAGCTATGATCACTGAAATTAATGATTATAAAATTAATGTTTATTTTTTGGATTATGGAAATACTGATTCTGTACCATTTTTTGATGTAAAAATTTTGCTGCCAGAGTTTTGTGAGTTGCCTGCCTTAGCCATGTGCTGTTCACTTGTACATGTATTTCCTATTGAAGGTTTATGGGTGAAGGCAGCAATTGATTATTTTAAAAAAATTGTCTTGAACAAAGCAATTTTGCTTCAAGTTATAGGAAAAAAAGATGACAAGTACACTGTAAATATTCAAAGTATTGAAGCCTCAGAAAATATTGATGTTGTTTCTCTTATGGTAAAAGCTGGATATGCAGAATACTGGGAAATAGAACCAGAATGTTATCCAAAATCTGCAAGTGAATATTCAGCATTAAATTTAAAATCTAAAAACAAAGTTAAGAAGGTCTTTTCTGCCCTTCTTGCAGAACCTAGACCTAAAAAGCACCATTTATATAAGCCAAAAGAAAGTAATTTGTCCTTATTAAAGTCCCCATCTGTTGATTTCTCAAATTTAAAACATCCTTTCACCTTCTCTGTGGCACGTGAGTCACCATGGCCTTATAAAGAATATATGTTTAAACCAGGAACAGTTCTTGAAGTTAACTGTTCTTATTATTGTGGTCCAGGTGACTTTTCTTGCCAGCTCCAATGTAAGTTAGAAGACCTAAAATTACTAATGGAACAAATTCAGAATTATTACAGCATTCATTCTGATCCTTATCAGATTGGGCAGATTGCTTGTGTTGCTAAGTATTCCAAAGATGGCAAGTGGTATAGAGCTGCTATTTTGACTCAAGCATCAAAAAAAGAAGTTGACATAGTATTTGTTGATTATGGTTATCAGGAAAGAGTTTTTATTAAAGATCTTTGTGCTATTAACCCATATTTTCTTTTCTTAGAAGGCCAAGCCTTCAGGTGTAGTCTTAACCATTTAGTTGAACCCATTAGTTGTAAATTATTAAGTTGGACAAGAGAAGCATGCAGAGACTTTGGGAATTTTATTTCTACATCTAGAGGATTATTGACTTGTGTCATCTATGCCTTAGTTCTTATAGAACCAAACAATTTATGTAATTTAGTGAATTTACGATCTCCGTTTACTAGTGCAAAAGATTTTCTTATTAATCATGGCTCTGCACAGTATAGTACATTATCAAAGCCATTCCCATCTTCTGTTAGTCTTTACAGTTACTGTTATTCCTCCTTTAATGTAAAAATTGGAAGTGAGGAAGAAATATATATATCTCATATATGTAGTCCCAACAAGTTTTATTGCCAACTTAGCAGAAATCATAAAGACCTGGAGATGATAGAAACAAAAATCACAGAAATTAGTGACCTCAAATATTTTCCAGAATATTGTAGTGAAATGAGAGTGTGCCTGTCTAAATACGTAGAGGATGGTCTTTCTTATAGAGCTTTAGCAATACCAACAGATTCATTGTCTGACTTTCTGGTCTATTTTGTGGACTTTGGAAATAAGCAGTTAGTAGAAGAAAGTATGTTGAGGGCCATCTCAGATCAGTTTCCAGAGTTGCTGTTTACACCTATGCAAGCTATTAAGTGTTTTTTGTCAGACCTTAAAGATGTACATATTCCAGCAGAAATCAATAGCTGGTTTGAAGATAATTATTTGGGGAAACGATTAAGGGCAATCATATTGTCCAGAGAGTCAGATGGCCAGCTTGGTGTAGAATTGTATGATGGATATCAGCACATAAATCAGAAAATTAAAATGTTGCTTCATGCTTATGGAAAAAAACATTGTGACCAAGCACACTGTATGGAAAAGAGTCAGAAAATAAACGAGAATAAGAGATTTGCTGTTTCTTTGAAAGGCAAAATAGACAACAGCTATCACCATAATATGATAAATAAAACTAGTCTAGTAACATATTCTGAAAACCAAATAGATCAGTCAATGAATCCCAAAAGTATATATGCCAGACTTTTGAAGCCTTCGGCTTGTTATAAAATTGAACATGTGTCAAAAAACAAAATGAAGAAATCTTTGAATGATGGATGCAAAGGTGTGAAAATTGTCCCTGGATCTGTACATACTCTTGATGAAAGTGATGTGGGCCAGAAATCAGTAAGGATTGTATCACCGTCCTTTGTCAGAGAATTGAATCAAGCAGCCCCACAAAACCTGTATAATTTTACGAGACCACAGATCAAAGATCTTCCTCAACCCAAAATTTACTTAAACACCAAAGTTAAAGGACATGTTTCTAATATCAGTAATCCAGCAAGTTTCCATATTCAGCTTGCAGAGAATGAAAATGTAATCCTCCAACTTGCAGATGCTCTAAATGAGAGAAGAGCAAATAGAGTGAATGAGAGAAAATCAGTTAAACCGATGGTGGGAGATCTTGTAGTTGCGGAGTACTCTACTGACAATGCCATTTACAGAGCAGTTATTAAGAAAATTTTGCCAGGAAATGCTTTTGAAGTGGAATTTATTGACTATGGTAACACTGCAGTAGTAAACACATCTAAAATTTATGAACTTAAGAGAGAATTCTTAACTATTCCTAAGCTAGGAATCCATTCTTTTCTTAGTGGAGTAAAATGGATTGGGCCTGATGAAATATGGGATACCAAAACTGTGGATTATTTTGCTTCAAGAGTAAGTAACAAAACAGTTACTTGTGAATTTTTGAAAAAGCATGAGCAGAAATGGGAAGTAAATATAATTTGTGATGAAAAATGTGTCATTAATGAACTACTGAAATGGATAGCATGTTCAAAACCATAAAAAACAGTATTGCAAAGCCCCCAGGTTGTGTTTCAGAAGGTGAGCCCTGGTGAGAATGAAATGAAGAAAGGAAGATCAAATGAATATGAAGGTTCTAGGGTTCTTCAAGCGTCCTACCAAAAGCTGGTTAACATTCCTTTTGAACAGTTAAAACCTGGACAACTTGAAAAGGCTGAAATATTTTGTTTCGAAAAGTGGAACATTTTATGTGAAGTTCTCTAAAAATAAAAAATTATCAGTATTACTAAAGAAGTAAAAACAAACACCTCTTTTTTTAAAAATGGAAAATATTGAAAAAGGCTTATTAGAATGCCTGGCAAAATCTAAAAAAGCTTTAAAGTGGTATCGATCAAAAGTAGGAAAAAAGTGTGTGGATGAGAAAGTGCTTTTTTTTTTTTTTTTTTTTTTTTTTTTTTTTTTTTTTTTTTTTAGTATTGTGGTCTTATGAAGTAGTGCCTTTATGTAATACCAGGGGCTTAGTGATGAAATCAGAAGTATTCCAAGACAAGCTATGCCTTGTAAATAGATTTGGTTTGAAAATTTGGGGAACATGCCATTTGAGTCCATTGTGTGTTTATGTGCTCATTTGGAAAGAAGCATCCTTTTTTGGAAATATTTAGACTCTGCCTAGGAAGTAGAAATCTTGGTAGATGGCTTGTTATTTTTGGAATGTTTAAATGTAAATATAGTTCGTGTTGAAGAAAACAGACTTAGGTCTTCAAAAATTATTTTCAACATGGAATCTAAGATTTCTATGTCATCATGTACAATAAGATCATTTACTTGGGCACAACTCCAAAGCTGTAAGCGATACTCTGTCATTGCTGTTTCTGAGCCATCACACTTCAGTATTCAGGTAGAAAATTTCTCTGACACAGTGAAATTTCTCTTTATGTTGCTTTCTGATCTACCAGAAAACTTCCAAACAGTGCCTCAAGAGCACATAATTCCTGGTTCTAGTTGTTTGTTCAAATATATGAATTGGAAGGTCAGTGGAATAGAGTGGAAATTTCTGAAATCTCCGATCAGTCTTTGCTGATTGTGTTGATCGACTATGGATTTTCCATTTACATACCTTATTCAGTTATAAAGAATTTTAAAATTGTTCCTGAGGAATCTTTGAGTTTGCCAAGGCTAAGTTATCCTCGTATCTTACCTGCCAAAGGAAAACATTGGAATGAAGCAGCTAAAGGTTTTTTTCAAGGCTTCCTAAGTAAACCAGGCTTAGTTTTTCAGTTTAGGAAAAATAGTTTTGAAACAAAACTGAAAGTAGATGTCTTCATGAGAAAAACAATTTGGCAGATATGTTAGTTGCATCTGGTCTTGTAAGGTATTCTAAAGATTCAGATCATCTTGAGGCAGTTACTATTTACTACTGGATATACTAAAATCGAATGTAAATTACAGAGTAAGCCAATTGGCCCATTGTCAGATCAGAATTGTTACAACAGAGAACATATCAATTGTACACATACTGAGAAAAACGGAAGCCAAAAAAGCAGGAAACTATAAAGAGGAAAGATGTCCATAAGAACCTCTTAAGGAAAAGCCATATTAGTAAAAGATTATATTCTAGAAATTTAACACCGAGGAAGAAGGTTGATAGTGGAAAACATAATTTCCAGCATACCATTACGTTTGATAAATGTGCTGCAGCAACTTTATTTTGGGACATACCTAAATAGTATGAAGAATAGCACCAATTGCATTGACAACATTTTTGAAAAGCTACCAGCTGAAGGAATACAGGAAAATACCAGTGGACTTGAGAACAGCAGTAAAAGCACTGCATGTTAATGAAAAAATATCAGAAGAACACTTAAAAGGTAAGTAGCCGTTTTTGAAAAGTAGATTCTTTTTGTAGATTCTATTTTTGATTCTTTAAAAGTTAGCTATTACATACTAAAATGATCCAAATTAAAATACTGTATGGCAAGAAAACTTACTAGAAAATCTGAATAAATGGATAAATTGAGAGTGATCATTTGAATGATAAAATAATGCTTCACTATCTTTACCTTTTTTGAATGGCAACCTTTACAAATGTAGTCAGAGTGTAAGGATTTTAATTAACCACATATGCAAGCACACATGCATGACATTGTACAAATAATTTCAAGGGTTTCACAAAAGTTCTGATGGTCTATAGATCTCAAATTAATAAATCTTGCTACTGTTACTGAGCTTCCTGGGATCATTTTGAAGAATCAATTTTCTATTATGTATTTTTCTTATCAGATGAAATGTATCTTTATTTAGTTTTTTTAATGTGTTGGTAGCATATTGCTAATGCAGTTAAATTTATAGAATCAACTGACTAGCATATTTCCTCTTAAAACTTAGATATCAAGCTGATTCTAAAATATTAAAATTTTAATATTTTATGTGCTATAGCATTGTCAGATTTTGCTTATGCACGTTATATTTCATTTTCTGTATGGAATAGTTACTGAGGATTTTGCAGTCTATAAAGAATGTTTCCTGCTTAAATGAAAGAATATTTGCACTGACTTTGGAAATGTGTATATTATTTCATATTATAACTAATAACTGGTTATGTTCTTTCAGTGAGTGGAGGTTTCTTGTTTTTATTGATGTATTTTAGAGTATTACATTTGAGTTCATATTTAGATGTTTTATAGTGAATTGATAAATGCTTTAAAATTGACTCCTTTCCTTTTTTGGGGGAGTCTTTTATTACTTAAGTAGCAGTTATGGTAGAGTGTTTACTGTGTTCCAGGTACTGTGCTAAAAGTTTTATATGTATTATTTAAAGCTTATGCCAACTCTTTAAAGTAGGTTAATACTAAGGTTTAAATGGAGTCTAATAATTAGCATCCAACTTCTTTAACTGAATTCTAAATCACTTTAGAGAGAAACAAGGAGAAAGACCATTGTTGAGCAAAATATCACCTTTAAAATAAACCCCCAAGCAATATTGATGAATGTGGCTTATATCCATGGGCAAATAGGTTTATCAGTACTGAATCATTTGTCTTGGTCTAACTTATTTCATTTAACATAATACCCCTCTAGGTCCATCCATGTTGTCACAAATGGTAAGATTTCATTCTTTTTTTAATATGATTTCACTTATATGTGGAATCTAAAAAATGACCAGACAAACAGCAGAAACTCATAGATACAAAACAAACTCATGGTTGCTAGGTGGGAGGGGAACTGGGCTGGATAAAAAAGGTTAAGAGATTAAGAAGTACAAATTGGCATTTGCAAAATAGTCACAGGGATGTAAAGTACAACATAGGGAATATAGTCAGTAATATTGTAATAACTATATATGATATTGGGGGTAGTAGACTAATGAGGGGGGATCACATCATAAGTTTTATAAATGTCTAACCACTATTTAGTGTACCTGAAACTAAAATGACATTGAATGTAAACTGTAATTGAAAAATTAAAAAAAATTAAAGAGTACTGAATCATTAATTTAGACTTACCCACATTAGCAGAGGAGAGCTTCTTCATATGGGGGTGGGGGAGGCTACCCCAAACTTACAGCTTGAAGGTAATTATCTCCAAAAAGAAAGGAAGGACAGAAGTAGAGGCTAATCTAACATATATCTTTTTTTTTTTCTAAATGCACCAATCAGATTGCCCCTACTTCTGGTGTGTGAGTAAGGGAGCAAAGAGACCAGAGCAGTCTTATGCTAGGAGAGCACTTCACCCATGAATACTACTTCCACACGGAAGGAAACATCAGGAATGGGAAGAGGCCTCCCCCTCCCGTTATTATTTTTTTGGAGGAGGCTCAGGGAAATGAAGCAAATTGCCCATGGATATAAGGTTGGTAATTAAGGAATTGTGATTTTCAACTCAGATGTCTCCAACTCCAAAGCCTGGTTTTATTCATGATTTATACACCCTTTTGAAAAGTACTTAGATTATTTGAGGAAGAGTTTTCTGTAAACTCTTGGCCATCAGCCCATATATTTTGGCACTTATATCTTACATTGTTTCTTTACCTGTGTATATTTCTACTTTCTCTATGTTTCTCCCATAAAACTTTTTAAGATCTTGCTTTTGGTCTCCACCTCCATGTAACCCCCTTTATTCCTAGCACACAGTGAATCAGTGTCAATTAATGTGAAAGCAGCTCTTGCAAAAGCAGTTCGAGACCCAAACATGAAATTATACTTCTAAAATTTTTTTGAAGTTCCATTTAAGGAAAAATTATAACTTTGAGACAAATGTAAGTAACATGGTTTTGTGGACTAAGAATAAACCAGTATACTTGTGGTAGTCATCGTTTGAAAGAATAAAATTAGAAAACATCAAAAAACTGGTTTAATTGCCCTGAAGACTATCTAAGCTTCCACCACCCCTTACTCATCCGAGGGCTGTGGTTACCACGGCTGTTGGCTACTGTTGTTGCCGCAGGTGCTCTGTGTGTTGGGCTGAACGGTTTTTAGGAGTTTTTCTTGGTTGAAGACATCAGTACTTGAACTGTCTTGCCCATTAAAAATTTTAGGAAAGAGGCTCTAACAACAGGGCTTTCCAACCTAGGCTTGTATTGGAGTTAAGAGGGGAAGCTTAAAAATTCTGGTGCCTGGGTCTCACTTTTAGATTCTGTTTTAATTGGTCAGACTGTGGCCTCGCCATTAGGATTTAAACTCCTCACGTGACGTACAGCCAAGTTTGAGAACCCCTGTTTTAGGGAGTTTTGTGGGTAACTTTCTGAATTATTTTGTGAGAGAACTATTTCTGGACTTTATGTGTGAAAACTCTTAGGCTCTGTCCCAGTATTTGGGGTCCATACTATACATACAGAGTCACAGTAATTCTGTGCTATACTTCCGAGTAAATATAATAGTAAAAAATGTCATTGTGTTAGAAATGGCCTAGAAGAATAATGCATTTATCTTATCTTGCCCAGATATTGTTTTAATATCGAAGTTGTACCCTTACATATAGAAAACTTGGCTTAACTTTACAATAATTTCAGCCTACTCTAACATACTAATATTTAATTATTCAAGATAATTGTTTTTATTTGCCAACTGTTTTTTCCAAAATAAGTTATGAGTCTTTTGTCAGGATGTTTTGCAGTTTTTGTTGTTGTTGTTGGCTGATCGGTCACTTGCCTGGAAGTCCTTGAATAAATAATTATGGGAACTAAAGACTATAACAATCTTTTTAAAAGAGCTCAAATATATCTAGTCAGTCTTTGGTAAAGAGACAGTGCTTGATGTTCATATGTGCTACCTTCCTATAATTGCTTATTTAACTAGAAGTCAGCCTTGAAGGAAATCTGGAATGGCATAGAGAAGAGCTTTATCTGACATTGTAAATTTGAGGTAATATCTAGATATCCAAAAGGGAATGGCTGATAGTCATGCAAAATGCCAGAATGAATTTTGAAAATATAAGCATAGTAAGGGATACAGATTTATGAATCGGTTGCATTGAACCTAGCATGGTAGTAACAGCTTTTTAACCTCTCTGTGCCTCCGTTTCTTTATCTGTGAAATGTAGATCATAATAATAACTACTCCACTGGCTGGTATTGAGGATTTAAATAAGTTAAAACATGGAAAGCATTTTCACTAGTACCTGGACATAATAAATGCTCACTGTTAGAAATAGGAATAATCATCCTAAAAAAGCAACTACATTTTTTTTGAAAATAATTTTTGAAATACTAACTTAAATTTCTAATGCTGCTCTGCAAGAAACTGAAATATTTAGGACAATTCTTATATACACATACACACATTTGCAGTTTAATAGATTAATGCTTAAATTTCTATTTTGAAGATAGGATTTATGAATAAGAGACATTATACACATAGTTTTAAATAAAGACTAGAATAGGTTATATGTATTTTCCAAAGTGGATACATATTGTTTAAGAAAAGATGTTTTAATTATATGTATAATTATATGTACGAGTATATGTTTTAGTATATGTATAATTGGTGCCATATTTTATTCCTTCTTTACTTTTTATATTGTGACTTCTAGGAATTAAGTAAAAAGAAATTCTGTTTATAGTAGGAATTTTCAAAATAAAGTCTTGAGTAATTCTTAATGAAACATACAATGCTTTGAAAATTACAGTACAACATACTCATTAATTTTTGCTTGTTTTTCAGGAGAGGGCGATGAAATCTCAGATCGTTTATGCATCTGTTTGGCAACAAATGAATATACATAGGATACCCAGTAATTACTGTTTTGTTTTAGATGCTCCAGAGACATAATAAAAGTGGTAAGCATAGGACAACTTTTAATATTAAAGCACATTAAAGGAATCTAGATTGTTGAGATTATTTCCCCAGGAGATAATGATTGGAATGCTAACAGAAATTTTATGTGACCAGGACTTGTGATTATTTGATTTGAAAAAAGTTGCTTAGGAAATGAG